CAATGCATCACCACACAAGCGGCCTGGGATGCTTTTATCTCCAATTTTCTATTCTTTATAAGTTATAAGGGAATCCGTCCGCACATATTTTTGGCAGGCACAACTCAGTTAATTGAGGTGAAGAAGCTACAAGCAGCAGATGGACGGCCTTGCCGACGGCGACGCTGCCGCTGCCTGACCTTACACCCTACACGGATGTCGTGGCTGACGCCTCGGAGATCGGGTCGCCGGAACAGCAAGAGGGGGAGGCTGAAGTCAGCGTGCCTCCCATACTGGGAGCTTTGGCGCCACGCCCTGGTTCGGCGCACGGCTTCGATTCTGTATGGCAGCGCTTTCTGGAAGATAATGACAGCTGGTCAGCTGGTATGACGGCCTTGGTGTGCTGCAACCCGACCAGCGGGAGGCCAATCTAGAAACCCTACCGAATTCGGTGGTCCCCCTAATTATGAAACCTCTTTGGTCCCAGAAAGAGGTTTTTTTAGGGGGGGAGGCAGCAGCAACACCCTGGACAGCTAAGAAATGAAGGGCGTGGGTATCTCCTACACCTCAATCCTGGTCTCCTAGTCAATCCTCATGATCAAAGCCACTACGGGGCACTACGGGTACTACAGTGGGCAGGGCCTGGGCCAACCTGCAACCCTAAATCCTAAATCCTAAACCCTATACAGCCTAAATCCTATCACCGTGGCAGGCGCCTACAATGACCTCGCCGTGAAAGGCGCCCTAAATCCTACACCTGCAACCCTAAATCCTAAACCCAAAACCCTACAGCCTAAATCCTATCGCCGTGGCAGGCGCCTACAATGACCTGGTCGTGGAAGGCGCCCTAAACACTACACCGGCAACCCTAAATCCTAAAACCTATACAGCCTAAATCCTATCGCCCTGGCATGCATGCGCCTACAGTAACCTCGCCGTGGAAGGCGCCCTAAATCCTACATGTGAAACCTAAACCCGAGCTCTAAAGCCTAAATCCTGAATCCTGAAATCCAAAACCCGAAACCCTGAACCCTGAGCAACCAAGCAGCCACCTGTGGCCACTCCGGAAACCGCGAGGCGTCGTAGAGGCAACGGCGGACCAGGGCTAGGCTCGAGCGCGGCTCCTTCGAGGGTTGAGGGTTTAGGCTTTAGGGTTTAGGTTTTGGGGTTTAGGGTTTCCGGCTTAGGTTTTAGGGTTTAGGGTGAAGCGCTCCTGTGACAGGTTTCTATATGGGCGCTGTAGGGGTGCGTGGTTTCGAATTAAGGGGTTTTGGAGTCTCTGGGAAGATCGCCACTCAGGACTGGACCTGGGGTATAGGGTTTAGGGTGTCCACCCTCAGAGCCGTTGGACATTCTTTCGTCAGAGCTTGCGGCCCTCAACCCCAACCCTAAACCCTAAGACCTAAATCTCAGCACAGGGCCCTGAGAAACAAAAACCCTTTTGAGATGTTCGCAGGCCGAGGTGTGCAAATCTGGAAGCCTACGACCCCTTTAAAACCCCAACACTCTCAAACCACAACTAACCTGAAGCCTAAACTCAAAACTCCTGCAGCCACATACACTTGTAAGTATCCTCCTCCGAAAACATGCACACCACGAAAGGTGTTCCTCGTTGCCATCACAATCAAGAAGAAAGACTAACACCCCCTTCTTGGGGGATCAGGGGACATAGTCACTAGGGCTTCTTTAAGGGCTCCTTGTAATAGGGGCTTTAAAAGGGGGCTAGAGGGTTTTGGGGCCTTAGTCAGCAGAGTTACCCAAGAAGGGATCCTAATTGGGGTTCTGATACTTAAAAGTCTATCGAACAGCTACTTACTGAGTTCCCCGACCCTCCAAGCTGTCTCTAAGGGCCCAAACCTGTAATGCAGAGGCCGTGATACTTCGAAAACGGATAAAGTAAAATAAAAAAATAAGGAATCAACCCCAAACAATAATGCTGGCCCCTAAACCCTACACCTGCCACCTGCAACCCTAAATCCCCAATCAATATCCCACCCCCCAGTACCCATGGTGCCCATGCAGAACAAACTTGCGAGGGCCCTGAGAGAAGAACTGTTCCCTGAACTCTCAAGTCGCCGACGCGCAAAAGTCTAGGCCCCTCAGTGGTACTCTGTCAACCCGAAACCCTATAGGGCCTCCTTGTTGCAACTGAGTATTGGGAACTGGATGCCCTAAATCATCGGAAAATCATAAGAGAACCCAGGCTAAATCCTATCGCCGTGAAAGGTGCTTTCAAAAACCTCGCCGTGGAAGGCGCCCTAAACCCGACACCTGCAACCCTAAATCCTAAAACCTACAGCCTAAATCCTATCGTCCCGGCAGGCGCCTACAGTAACCTCGCCGTGGAAGGCGCCCTAAATCCTACACCTTAAACCCTAAATCCTAAACCCTACAGCCTAAATCCTAACGCCGTGGCAGGCGCCCCTAAACCCTAAACCTAAAACCTCAATCCTATAAACCCTAAACTAAAGACTAGCACCTATACTAAATGCTATCGCCGTGAAAGGCACTTAGAAAAACGTCGCCGGGAAGGCGCCTTAAATCCTAAACCCTACAGCCTACAGCCCAAATCCTAACGCCGTGGCAGGCGCCCCTAAACCCTAAACCGAACCTAAAACCTCAATCCGAATCCTGTAAACCCTAAACTAAAGACTAGTCTAGTAAGTATACTAAATGCTATCGCCGTGAAAGGCGCTTAGAACAACGTCGCCGTGGAAGGCGCCCTAAACCCTACACCTGCAACCCTAAACCCTACAGCCTGCAGCCTAAAACCTAGCGCCGTGGCAGGCGCCCCTAAACCCTAAACCTAAAACCTCAATCCTATAAATCCGAAACTAAAGACTAGTAAGTACTAGTAAGCTACTAAATGCTATCGCCGTGAAAGGCGCTTAGAACAACGTCGCCGTGGAAGGCGCCCTAAACCGAATCCTATAACCTCAAGTGAAGACTACTAACTAACTACTAACTAGACTAACCCTGCACCCAACGCCGCCCGAAAACCTAAATTCTAAACCCTAGCCTACCTACAGCCCAAATCCTATCGCCGTGGGGGGGGCGCCCTAAACCATACACCGGAAACCCTAGCCCTAAATCCTAAACCCGAGGCCTGAGTTCAAGAGGTGCGGCCCAGGTGCCACGGGCCACAGCCTCCACGGCCGCCACGGCCACGGCCGCTGCTACTGCTGCTGCTGCTGCTGCTAACTACTTACTACTTACTACTTACTACTTACTACTTACTACTTACTACTTACTACTTACTACTTACTACGTACTACTTACTACGTACTACTTACTACTTACTACTTACTACCTACTACTACTACTACTACTACTACTACTACTACTACTACTACTACTACTACTACTTCTACTTCTACTTCTAGTACTACTACTACTGCTACTACTACTACTACTACTACTAGTGCTACTACTACTACTACTACTACTACTACTACTACTACTACTACTACTACTACTACTACTACTACTACTACTACTACTACTACTACTACTATACATCATACCTAGAAGTGACCTTTGATTGTTTTCGGGCATGTGCTCCCCGCGCCAGAAAATCCCAACCCGGGGTATAAGGTTTAGGAATTTAGGAAAAAGGGTTCAGGGTATAGGGTTTAGGAGTTTAGGGGTTAGGGGCGGCCAGGGGTGTGGGGGTTTCCGGGAAATGTTAGGGGTTTAGTGGTAGGGCGTCGTTGTCGAAGCACAGGGAGCAAAGCAACTGAAGGAGGACAGGGAGCCCTGCAGAGTTGCAGGTCCGTCTGAAACGCTGTCACTTGCAAGCACATGCATCGAGTGCAGGCGGAACTGCTCGCACATGTAAAGTGGCCGAGGCACTAAACCCGCCAACGCTCACCCCTAAACTCCCTAAATCCTAAGCCCTGAACCCTTATCCCAAAACCATAAACAGAACCCTGCACAGAGACCCCAAGACGCCTTGAAATCCCACCCATCCCAGAGTCAAATCGCCAAGGAACCCAGGAGGTTCCATCGGATGATGCCTTGGCAAAGCTCAAAAAAGTTGTGGGCGGCTTCATCATTAGAATAAGGCATGGGGTACATTGTACTATAGCTTTAATATGGAGGCCTACGGAATATTGGCAAATACCAAGGTCCCTGTCTGTATGTATATATAGACATATACATATGCATATATATATATATATATATACGTATACATATCTTGGTTGTTTGCAGGACTTCGGCCAGCTGCAGTTCACGGCGGCGGTGGGGGCAGAAACAGTAGCGGGCGGATCAATTTCCTTCAGCGAAGCTCTAATTCCCAGTGCCGTCTGCAGCCACCGAAGTCTTCAAGTCGCTGCAAAAAGAGGAAGCTTAGGCTGGTGCGCACAGACCAGCAGCCAGACCAAAAGCATCTCCTTGGGCAAGCCCGGAGCTGTGGTAGCAAACAGACGGGTGAAACTGATGCCTAAACCCCAAAGCCGGGGGTTATGGTGTCTTTGTTTTCAGGTGACAGGTGAAGCGTCCTCCCACCGAAGGACAGAACCTGACATGCTAACCCACTCCCTTCCTGAGCATAACAGCATCGCCGGTGCAGCCCCATCAAGGGCTCTCCGAAGCCACAGATCTGAGCCCGTTCATCGTGCAAGCAGGGCGCGCTGGAAGGCATTGAAGGACTTGTTGTGCTTGATCTGATTGCCTGTAGGCCTCCTCCATGCGCAAAACTGACTTTATACCAAGGAAGTATGCCGTGTTTGGAGAGACAGCCAGAGAGAAAGAGAGAGAGAGAGAGAGAGAGGGAGAAAGAGGGAGTGAGAAACACACATATACATGGGCATATACATATACATATACACACATAGATATGTACATGGTTACGCGGTATATATTTATGCAACTATATACCCTTATATACATATATCGTCTCCGGACTGGGAAGCAAAGAAAAGTTCGCAGAAAGGTGCCGATGGTCGTCTCATCAAAGTTCACCAGGGTGTGTACCGGATACACACTGATCGAGCTTGTCTCGCAGCTTCTTCGATATCCTATACCCTAAACCCTAAACCCCTAAACCCTAAACCGCCCATCGGGAGTCCTAGCGAGGCTCCCTCGAAGTCGTCAGCGGTGCTGTCGCCTTCTGCTTTAGCTCTTGCACACCTGGCGCCGGAGAGGAGTTAGATGGGCTACAGCAGGCAGAGAAACAGCATGCGTTGGTCTCGGCGCTGTCATGGCAAAACAAAAATCACCAATTTCTCGAACTGTTGGGATCCCTATCTTACATGCCCTTCATGGGACATACCGGCCGAGCCCCAGGCTGGAGTAGCTGTGAGACTGTCCGGCACAGAACCGGCATTCCCGGCAGCAGCGCCGGATTCATGAGAGCTTTCAATCTGAGTGGCGCGGAAGAGGTTTGAGGATAGGGGCTCAGTGGAAGACATGACGGACCATGCAACCACGGCGACTAGCGACTGCCGGACCGCCTGCAGCCCCATCGAATGCTGAGATCGGCAAAGACTTAAAGATCCAGAATGGCCCTTGCACCGCAAGCATCAATTCCGAACCTGCGGCCCCAGAAAGTAGCAATGCCAGGAAAATATATTCCGCCATCTCACCCATGTCTAAGGCTCCCACAGCAGGGGCCACAAGATAGATCTCAAGGACAGCCTCGCAGCGCAGCGACCAGCGCGCATGCTTTGAGTAGGTGATGTTACGTCCGTCAGCGGACGCCCTCCTCTCCGTTACCTTATCCACAATCTTCATGGCCGGCTCCATCGCCATCACCCCGGAGTCACTATACATCAACATCATGACCGTCATCTATGTTTAGCCTTCAGTCGCTGTTGTCGCCTCGTCGATTATTGTAATCGCGGGTACTGGTACGGTCATGTTGCTGTTTTGATCGGTGTGATGTTAGTCGTCGTGGTCACGGCGGTCGTCCTTCACATCCATGCCTCGTCCCGCATCAACCATCGTCACCCGTTGTCCCCAGCCGCCACCCTCACCACCACCCTGGCTATAAGTACCACCAGCGAACCAGCGACAGCTCTGCCGAATCGGACAACACCAGCGGCCGTAGCGAGCCAGTAACAGCAGCGGCAGCAGCGGCAGCAGCACCGCCACCAACACAACTAGTCAACTGCAATGCCAGCGCTCCCCTCAGCGTGAGGTCATTGCTCTTAGAAGCTGGTCGTAATCACTACCAGCATCGTACCGTCGTCATCATCGTTATCATCAACATCAGCGTCTCTATCGTCAGCATCACCATCGTCATCAACAACATCGTCATGGTCCTCCTTCGCCTCATCATCTCATCACCTCGTCTCATCATCATCATCATCATCGTCATCGGCAGCACCATGTCACCATCGTCTCTCCGTCACCACGACCATAATACTTATCGTCTTTACGGTCATCATCATAAAGACCGTCATCGTCAAACACATGAGTCATCATCTTCAACCTCGTCGCCATCATCATCTTCAACATCTTCTTCTCCTCCCATAACAACAACAACGTCGTGACCACGTTGCATCATGCTATATACTCGAAATAAGTCCTGCGCGGCATCCAAGGAGGGCGTTGCGAAAACTGGTGTGGAAGGAAATGCTAAAAGGGAAGTGGGTAAACTAGAGTCCATGTCAAGATCGATGCCCTGTGCAGCCCTCGGGATGCCTGGACTGGGCAGCATCGACGAGCTGGTCAAAAATGGATCCGGCCTGACAAATCAGCTGGCAGTGGCTGGAAAGCACGAGGCAAAACCCTGCAGGATTTTCACCCGGCACGAGAGCTTCTGAAGCCTAAAGCCCGAAACTTGAATGAAGGGGTTCAGCACTTCCCCACCCTGAGGAGGGCACACGACTCCGCACTTCCTCTGCCGTTGGACCGTCGCTGCGGTAGCCCTGGCATGAACTTAGCTCTTGTGCAAGTCTTACTGACAATACTATCGTCTTCGCAAGCAGTCTTCGTGCTGTCATCGTCGCTAGTAGTCGTCGTCGTAATTGTGCTAGTGCTAGCACATGTGTTCGTAATTCATGCTAGAGCCAGCCGTAGACATCGTAGAATCGCAAGTGTTGCTACAGTCGTAGTTGGGTTAGTAGTCGTAGCCGTCCGCTTAGCGGTAGTAGTAGTAGTAGTAGTAGTAGTAGTAGTAGTAGTAGTAGTAGTAGTAGTAGTAGTAGTAGTATAGTAGTAGTAGTAGTAGTAGTAGTAGTAGTAGTAGTAGTAGTAGTAGTAGTAGTAGTAGTAGTAGTAGTAGTAGTAGTAGTAGTAGTAGTAGTAGTAGTAGTAGTATAGTAGTAGTAGTAGTAGTAGTAGCAGTAGTAGTAGTAGTAGTTGCTGTTGTTGGTCGTGGTCGTGGTAGTGGTTGTGGTAGCAGCAGCAGCAGCAGCAGTAGTAGTAGGAGGTAGTCGTAGGTAAGTAGGTAGAAAGTAGTAGGGAGTCGGTAGTCGGTAGTAGGTAGTGGCAGTAGTAGTAGTAGTAGTAGTAGTAGTAGTAGTAGTAGTAGTAGTAGTAGTAGTAGTAGTAGTAGTAGTAGTAGTAGTAGTAGTAGTAGTAGTAGTAGTAGTAGTAGTAGTAGTAGTAGTAGTAGTAGTAGTAGTAGTAGTAGTAGTAGTAGTAGTAGTAGTAGTAGTAGTAGTAGTAGTAGTAGTAGTAGTAGTAGTAGTAGTAGTAGTAGTGGTAGTAGTAGTAGTAGTCGTCGTCGTGGTAGTAGTAGTAGTAGTAGTAGTAGTAGTAGTAGCAGCAGTGGCAGTGGCAGTGGCAGTGGCAGTGGCAGTGGCAGTGGCAGTGGCAGTGGCAGTAGCAGTAGCAGTAGCAGTAGCAGCTGCAGTAGCAGCTGCAGTAGCAGTAGCAGTAAAGTAGCAGTAGCAGTAGCAGTAGCAGTAGCAGTAGCAGTAGTAGTATTAGGAGTAGGAGTAGTAGGAGCAGCAGCAGCAGCAGTAGCCGTAGCAGTACCAGTAGCAGTAGTAGCAGAAGGTAGCAGTAGCAGCAGCAGTGGCAGTGGCAGTATTTCGCAGTGGCAGTAGAAGTTGTTGCATGAAGCGCTGTCAATGCCATTGTTATTTCGGCCTTGTTCTTCTGGTACCGATCAGGCCGAATTTGAACTTGCTCTGATATTAGTATTCAAATCTTTGCGGGATTTGAAGAAGGATTCCTGCTAGTCGTTTTCCTGACAAGCAACACCGCTTCAAGATATGAACAATTCTGGCAGAACTCGAGTGATGACTCAGACTCAGACTATCGTCGTTGATGCTAGCGTGGTGGCTTTTCCGTTTCCATGGCCTTCGAAACGAACTTGGGCATGTAGCCCTGGTCCGTGTCAGCGACCTGTCCCAGCATTGCGGCACGTTGCAGCAACAACAAACAAACGACAGTCATGATGCGTTCCTAAAGCCCGAATCCTGAACCGATGACCCCCCTACCAGCACCAGGGCACCAACTTAGTATGTCATAATACACATTTGAAATTCTATATTATGCAACATGTTATAGCATGATACAGACAATAATGACGTCTTATACTCAACAGGCCTGGCCTGACTTCTGGCAGTGAGGCGAACAAGCGAGTTGATCAAGTTGTTCACCTGCAAGGGCTGGGTTCCTTTAAGGCCCGTTTAAAAGAGCGTCTTGAAGGGACCTATGACGGTTCTATAATAAGGGCTGTAGGGTTTATATAGACTTTGATACAGCGGCCTTACCAATTCCAATCGGGTGATGAGGTACTCGTATGTTAAAGTATGACGAGTATCGGGATCATAGGGAGGTGGTACTACGAACAACTCACTGCAGCGATCTGGGTTTAACAGAGGCTAGTCTTCCGAACCGAAGGGTAACAACATCCCAGTGATAGACAGTTGGGATGTATGAAGTGATGTGGGGCTTCGAAATCACCGCATCTGCAAGGCCATAAGACGTCCTAGCATCTGATAGCATCGTATATGCCACTGGTATAATACGAGTAGTATATCTTAGTATAATGACAACTTAGCCTCTTTCGCAATCAACCACCGCCGCCTGCATGGATGTTGCTCTCTTCAATGCGGTGTCACAACGCTTGGGAAGCGACGACGTGCGCAAGGTCCGTGACATCAAAAGGACCAGTATATCAGTCAGTAGTAGTGCCACAAGATACGTTTCGACGTTGTTGCCGTAGGTAGGTGTTGCCTATTGACACGCTTTCCCGGGAAGAACCAGGCCTGCTCTGTCTTTGCCGCCGCTTTCGCGGCCTTCTTGCCGGACGGCATTGAAGGGGTCACGGAAAAGCTGCTTCAACGCGAAGCGAGGATTCACTACTAGTGGGATATGGAGACTGATTCTTCGACACACTTGCACAGACGCTATGTAAAAACCCATCTGCTTGCAACCGATCCGACCTCCCTGCTTGAACAACTCCCGCATGCCTCTCAACCTCGGACTCTAAATTGCATCATTCTTCGAGCCTCTGCCGCCCCACTGCCAAGCAAGTCTGCATTCGCCGCTGCGACCAGGAGTTCTCCCAACATCAGACCTGACTTCCCTTAGGGGTACTTAGAAATCATTTTTAATTTTTGGTTATTATAATCCCTAAGAAACAGCAAAAAAACAAAATTTTGCTAGGGTTCTAAGTTCAGCATAGTTCCGGCTGCTCTCGTGCAGTCACTTTGTTGGTGGGTAAGTTACCTTCCATCCATCCTTTGCAACCCGCTACCATCGGTTGCCCTCTAGCCCACACAGGTCACGATATCTGGATACGATCTACGTCTCTTCACACATGCACAAACTTACCAGTACTATATGCTCCGAGCGAGCTTGCAGCCTTCGCCTGCAGTAGCCCCTCTCAGGCATTCAACGCATCTTCTGCTGCACGGGAGTTGCAGTCAGAACTTTACTTCCCAAACCTGGCATGGTCATAGTGTGCTGGTGCAGCAGTTTCAAAGGATTTGGGCTTAAAGCTTTACGCATCTCCGTGCTGCGACAGAGATTACTACGCTTGCCGACTTATAGACTTTGCCATCTACGTCTGTCTTCTTTGCTCTCCGTCCTTCTTTGTGTTTTGCGATACTGCTTCTGTTGTAGATTATACCTCTCCAGGTGCCGCAATTGCTGAATACATCAGCCACTCCATACAGAATTACAAGTCAGCACACACAAAAATTGCAGACAAACGGTAATATAAGGTCTCAATGACTCAAGCTAAACCCTTAAGCCCCAACCCTTGCGGTTGAAGGCTTGTGCCGCGGTGCCGACGGTGGGATCGTGATCGAGAAGCAGCCTTGAATCAAGAAGCATACGTTTAGGGTCTAGGGCCAACGCAATGCAGGCCTAGGACTTAACAAAGTTCACGTATTGCTGTGTTGTAACTGTATTGGAGTGCAAATGGAATCTAGGTCCTAGGTGCTTCATGCTTTTCAGTACAAGGCGATAAACGACCCAGGGCTGGCAATTGATTAAGCGGGAGCTACGGTTCAAAGCCATCTGTTGTCGAGGCGGACTGGAATGGTGGTCATGGGCGGGCACGTCGACTTTCGCCACAACGATTTATAGACTTGTTCTGACTAGCGGTTCACAGCACTGTTATCGCGTGCTACCTCTGCTGATCATCGATCAGTACAGCTATGCGTGCTCCTACACGGTGCTCATTTCGTCCTGGTGGATACTGTGGTTGAGAGCACTATTTGCAAGGCTACTTAGGTCAAGCATTTTATTCATGCTGGGTGTAGTTGTGGCCCTACCGGTGCCACAAAAGACACAAATCGGGCGGAGCCAGTGTATACAGATGTTTACATAACACAAAGCTATATGCAAACTTTTGCATACGCATGAGTTCGCAGATGCAGATGGGTAAATCACAGGAACAGCACAGCAGCACCTTGGATTACTTTGCAGCACCATACACGCCTTAGCAAATGCTACATGTGGAAAGCATTGAGGCTCGCTTCTCTGACACCTTCAAGTGCCAGCAGACCCAAATTTAATCATTGAAAATCCAACATCAAAGCGGGATTCCTTGCCAAGTGGCTGCTGAATGCCTTCAACGATGTTGACAGCTCCACTAGCAGCCCGCCCTGCGGCTCGGGACTAATGCAGGCAGCGATGTTTCACCTTAACCTGCGAGAACACAAATATTGTGAACAGAAATATTTGTAACCAAGGGAGACAAATCAAAATCCCAACATTCGCTGCGTGCTGCAAAAGCAAAGTGACAATGCTGCAACAGCGCTTCTTCGAGTAACAACTAGAGTCACAGAGTATCGTTTCCTTGTAAGAATCATCCTGCCCGCAGTATCACCACCACCACCACCACCACCACCACCAGCACAACATTTGGGCTTACTTCGGGCTTAGCGCGTTGTTTCGGCCAGGGTTGACACTTGAAACAAAATTCTAGCCCCAGTCGTTCAAAGTCTTGTGCGAGTCTGCCCAGCAAGCAATTTCCACAAACTTTCTTCTTTTTGTGGGTTTAATGCATCTGCGAGGGCTTGATGGGCATCATCGGGATCTTTTGCCGTTTCGGCTGAGGCCATGAAACGTTGTATTCATACGTGCCAGGCCTTGCGGCTGTGTTATGTGCAAGCAACAGTATTTGGAGGCTCATGGGACCAGTGCATAGGTTACAAGTAGAGCTGTGGGTGGCTGTCGGTAATTGGATCTTCTTGAGTCTATAACTTGGTTCATGGTCACCGTAAACCCTGAACCCTTAATTTCGTTGAAGCGTTGTCTCGGACTGATATTGTACAAAAGGCATAGAGGCCCGCATCGCTAGCCTCGTTGCCCGTGGACCGACCGACCACACAAGTCCGGATGAACCCTGATCCGTATCCTCGAAGTGAAGTTGCAGAGTTCCCCAATCCTTTGGACCTGTACAGTAGCCCTTTAGAGAATCCTCATCGGAATCCTTAAGCAACCCTTTTCTAGGAACCCTTTTAAGAATGTGAAGAATTCTTGTAGAAATCCTAACCCTACTATAGATCCCTTATAGACCCCTTTAAAAAGAACCGCCCTTGAGCGGAACCCCATTCCAATTATCAAGGCCCTTATATATAACCCCCTAACCGCTAAACCCAACCTCCCAGAAGGTGGCGCAGAACCATCAGCGAAGCGAGGCGTTCCTCGCGGCTGCCCTTCGCCTGCGCCCGTCCCCAAGGACGAATGTGGTGGGGTTTAGGGTTTAGGGCGGCTTGGGTTCGGGAGGCGTTGTTTAAAGCAGTTTTTGTTGGGAACCCAGGGCTTCAGGGCTTCAGGGTTTTGTGGATTGTAAGGAGTTTTTCTTAGTGCTTCGCAGGCTTTTGATGCATTTCTGTGCTCTTGGAGTTGGATGCTTGGGGTACCGTCTAGAGGCAAAATGAAGGATCATAGCTTTGACATGGATGCTGACGGTGATGCTGCTTCATATGCACTGACTGGAGGACAAGGTCTATAGTATATATAGACTCTGAACCCATGAACCTTAAACTCCAAACCATTGAGGCTGTATAGCCTTGTGCGTCCTCGAACCCTGGTGTGCTACCCATTGAAAAATCCGTGCGCGCCTGCCCCAGCAAAACCCGAACCCACAAATTCAGAGCCCCAAACCCCAAGAATCCAAAGCCCCAAATCCTCAATCCAACACAAACCATGCAGTAAAACATCGGCGATGCCTGTGCGAAACATTCTCAAGCCCAATAAACCCTACACCCCTAAACCCCAAACCCAAAACTTTAAAATCCCCAAACCCCCAGCTATCAAAACCCGAAAATCAAAAGCCATTACTGGGCCGCTCCTTCTGCAGCAAGAAGCCGAAGGTCTCTGAAGCAAAGCACTCGGCGAGGATTTCGAAGCATTGGAGAAGCTCCGCCTCTTTTGGTTCTGTTTTCAGATGGGGAGCATTGTAAAGGGTGATGTGTGCGTTACCGCATGGGTTATGGGTTCCTTTAAGTGTTCATATGAGGTCTCGAAGAAACTTATATACCATGATTGCTGCAAACATTGCTACAATGGAACCATCTGAGCGACCAACTCCATCTGTGTTTTGAAGTTTTAAGATAGCTTGTAAAATTGCCAACAGGTCCGTGTTGCGTACCCACACTGAAATTTATTGGGGTTTGGGGTTGCTAGTCGCAGCTTGTACTCGCAGCTTGTAACGGTCACTCCGCTAACAACTTCTCTCCCGTAAGGTTGGTGTGGTGGCTCTGAAGTAGAAGGCTTATTTTAGGGCCGTCTATTGCCTTCGGAACCCGTACGAGCATGGGCAGCAAAAGACATTCGTACCAGGCCCCTTTCTTGCCGTCAACTGGAAACTCAACAGAAATCTCTGCATCATCGCATGAAGATACATGAAGCCTCGAGCTCGAGCATTGCGAAGCCCTACACTCACAACGTTTAACAAGCTGCACCTGAACACCTGCACAAACCACAAGCGCTACACCGGCACCTGAACTGCAAACATCCCAACTCTTCTCATAGGCTTGTATGGTGGGCTGTGTAGCGTTGTTTATGTTCTTGGCGGTTTGCTATTAGTGTTTCATGACGAACTGTGGGAGTGTAAGAGGATGTACCATGGGTTGCTGCGGGGTCTCAAGCCCGAAGTGGTAGGCTTGGTAGGTGCTTCATTGAAGAGGCAGGCGGCCTGGCTTTGCAAGGCCTCCTGGCTCAATCCAGGCTCCTGCCGGTGCTTTGTGTGTCTTTGGTGTATGGTTCAAATTGAATCTATTTGTGCGTGTGTGTGTGTGTGCGCGTGTGTATGTGTGTATTTGCGTGTGTTTGCGTGTGTTTGTGTCTCTGTGTGTGTGTGTGTGTGTCTGTGTGTGTGTGTGTTTGTGTGCATGTGAATGTGCGTATGTCCCGTGCGTATGTGTAAGTAGGTCGGTAGGTAGGTAGGTAGGTGGGTAGGTAGGCATCTTTGTGTGGATGGCTGGCGGCAGGCTGGCCGTCGGGCTGGCTGGGTGGATGGATGGAGGTGAAGGCATGCATACATGCGTGGATGGATGAATCGATACATGGCTGAATGAATGAACGGATGTTTGGCTGGATGGATGGATGGATGCACCCACAATGTCGAGAGGTTGCATACGCAAGCTTCACCATCGCGAGAAGGTTATAGCAATCAATCCAGAAACGATGGCTGTAGTATGTGCAGTCGACCATGAAACACACAGACACACAGAACTCCCGTTGCTAGGACCGGGCTCCAGCTGTTTACAGGGATCTTGGCGCGTATAGCCGACCCACCCGGCACTTACAGGAGTTTGCCTCTTCTTTCTGCTGCTATCTGCTATTAATGGCAGACCCGACATGAGCCATGGCAAGGTATGCTTACATGGATTATACATGTCAATATGCAGGCACTTCCCTGCGTTTCTGTTCGAGGAATTGCTCTGGAGTTGCTGCACCTGCCGGGCGCCCGAACTTCAAATCAACAACTCCGAAGCCTAACCCAAAGGGCCCAAGTGTGATTATGGTATATACTTAGACCCCCAAAATGCCCTATAAGCATAGCCCATAATCATACTTGGACCCTTTGGGGAACGCCCGCAACAGTCCCCAAGCAACACAGAGCTCCTGCAAAGGGCCCCTGAGAGCAGCCCAGGCGAAGAGAGAAGACAGCATAGTCTGTAATGTGCTCCTTGGACCATGGCTTGACTTCGCTGAACTTAGAACCCTATAGGCCCTAGCAGCAATTTTAATTTTAGCTGTTTCTTAGGGATTATAATAACCAAAAATTACAAATTATTTCTAATTACCCCTAAATTGAAGTTGAAGGAGAACTTCGGCCCAGGCTTCAGTGGCTATGGCTTAGGCTTCGGGGGCTTGGAGACTATGGTAGTCTGCTGAAACACGAAACGCCAAGACATGTGATCCACCGGAGAGTACGCTCGCATCCGCTGGCAAAACAGTTTTTCTCAGCCAAGTATCTCGAGTGTGAGTATTTCTGGATCGGCATCAATGCAAGCCTTTCAATCACAAGGCAAGCTGAGAACGGAAGGGTGTCAAAAAAGTAGCAGGAAGCGCCTTAGGACGGGGTTGAGGAGCTGCAGCGGGAAGGCGTAGTGTTCCCGGTCGGTGCATACGGCAATGGTCAAGCGCCATGCATCTAGTCCACCTACACCTAGTCTAATCGTCTAACCCTCTTTACCTCCTTTTCCGACACAGCCGTTGCTGCAAGGCACAGGACATACGAAGGCATGGGGAAGGACTTGGCAATCCTGAGCTTCGGTTGCAGACCTTCCTACCTTGAAGCATAGTCAGCTGCCCAACCTGCAACCCCGAAGGCGAAGCCATGACTCAACGAGACTCATCTACAAGAACCCAAACCTCAAGCCTTAAGTCATAAACCGAACACTCCTGCGCAATGCCTGTAGGGCCAGCGATGCCCCACGGAGCAGTCGCAGAGGTGGAAAGGGGCTTGCTGCCGTTGTGAAGGCACCCTGCGGCATCGCGACAGCTTTGTTGACTAACCATCCCAAAACAAAAAGAGAGATCATGTTGCAGCTGTGACGGAGTCGTATGACAGGTCAATGACTGGAGACGGGTAGAGAAAGGTCGGTCTCTAAAGTGGAAACGCCTTGGTTTTCGTTTCCCAGACGGGGTGCTGAATGCGCTGCTCTCGGAGTGCAAACTTTTTCTTCAGGTCGTGTTGTGGGCAGCTTTGGGTTGACAGTAATTTAGGGGCCTTCATAATTAGAATAGGGTTTTGGGGCCCATCATACTATAATATAATAAGGAACCCCCCCCAAAATAGCAAAGGCAGTTATTAAGGCTCCCGTAGTACTTGTTGCATTGGCTTCCTTGTTAGTCCAACTTTAGCACCGCAAGTTTGTGCTTGGTTCTCCAGCTTACCGCAGTTGCAGCAGCAACGCGTCGCGACTGACTACTGGGTGTTTGCTGTGGTGTCGTCGAAACGACCTGTCATCTCTACTCCCTGATACTCTTCTCTTCGACTGCAACAGTATCAAGTCATTCTATTCCTCAGAATAGGTCGTTGTGCACTCCCGGACGACCATGCCATCTTGTGCTACACGAAGATACGCGTCCATCACGCCCTACGATGCTCTGATACTCTAGTATGCGCATCCTACCCTGCCGTGTTATCTTCCACTTGCTGCAGGGTCTGCAGTGAGACACAACGTGGGGGGACAGCTGGAAACGTGATATAGGGGCCGTAATGAATAGAATAGGGTTTCGGGGGATATTATACTATAATAATTATGGTAGGGAACTCCCAAAATTGTGTAGGTGGTTATTTCCCCTGTATTGTGCAAAGCCGGCCTGGCGGGACAACAGCGACGCGATATGCTCTAGCCTGGGGCACACATCACGTGGGAATTCAGGGTTCGCTGCCACCTTGAGAGGGCCGGGGGCCTGCTTGGAGGATCGTGGGACTTAACAACTAGGGTTATAAGTACCTTAAGTGGGGTTGTAAGTAGTTATACGTATAGTTACCCTCATTATAACCCTAGTTACTAAGTCCCGTGATCCTTTGAGTAATAAGTAAGGTGTCAGCTTCAGCTCATTCGGGCACAGGCGGAGAGAGTGTTACAGCGACGTCAGAACTTCCAGCCGCTCGGCCGATCAGAGAAATGCCGCTAAGTGGCAACGAGTCAGCATTTGTCAGGAACTGATCCTTTGGAATGACGAGGCTGATGTGCCCCAAGGTCTCAACAGCTGCCACGCGGAGGTTCAAGTCCTGGTCACGGGAAGAATGGCATAAGTCGGCATGGCATGAGTCCCGATTTTGTGTTCCATCGAGCGATGTCATGTGGCTTGTCGCTGTTGACAACACGAGAGAGTATGACATCTGTTAAGCTGCGGGGAAAGCGAGAAGCAATTGCACACTTACCAATACAAACGGCATCCAACCACTTGCAATCTCTTCAACCTCAGACATTTCCCCCACTGATACCCCGCTTTTAAACACTTGACCCTAGACCATAACGCTTCCCGCCCTGAACCTGCAGCTCCATGTCCGACTGCGGGGGTTGTTTGAGCTTCTGATTTTGGCAGGGTCGTATCATGTCGTATCATACGCGCGAAGTTTAACCGCTGAAGGTTGCCTACCCAGTCCCTCAGTGTCCTTCCATGAGGGCCAAGCACTCATGACCAATGCAAAGACAGCACCCAGGATCTGCGCTGCCTGGATCGGACATGGCACCGGTTTCGGGTTTGGGGGTTTTATAGAGTTCGGACGGTTTAGGGTTCAGCATTTCAAAAGTACTTCGGATCAAGAACCCAGGGTTCAGGGCGTAGGCCCCGAATCATCATGAAACGTTTTGTTAGTGTGGGCAAGTTTACATCTCTCAGTGCGAAGGTTCTTAAAAAGACTTTGACGGTCGCTGACCTCCAACCCCGTATCGAAAAAGGCCGGAAGTCTCTTCCGCCCGTCCGGAGCACTACAACCTCTGAATGCTCATTTGTCAGACACGAGGCGCAGGTACACCTTACTTAAGCGATGCCTCCTACCATGCCTAACAGCCTGTTCCCTTCATGACTGCATGCCTTCTTGAAGTCGTCTGGAAGGGCACGCGCAGCCTTTGCCGGGTGTCTCCGTAGCGAGGATTTTTGGAGGAAGAGGATCGAAGCTTGGGCTCGGGAACCTCGTAACTATCGCCCTTTGATAGCCGTCACTACTACAGGTACTGCGTGTTTTTGCTCCGACACTACTTTTGTCGACCATTTCAAGTTTCGCTGTTGCTGAGTGTACTAGAAGTGCTGAAAGTGGTGGTAGCAGAAGCAGTACAGTATGACGGCAATAACGACCAGGATGATGTGGCTGCTTCTGGGAATGAGCGGCATGGTTTTGATTATGATCATACTGGTGCTGGTGGCGAGTATGAGTGATGATGACACCGGGAGTCTCTGCAAGTCGGACTACCCAATATAGCACCCTAACTAGTAGAATATAAGGACCCCCAAATAGGGTATCCCTAAGTTTCGGAAACTCCCAGATACGTCTCCTAAGACCGAAGATCCAGTTACTTGGGCTCAAATCTCGAGTCCCGTACTGTCTCCACATTAGGGTCCCTTTTAGGGTCCTTTTTGTAAGGGTGCCGTACTATGTTGCGGATCTAACAAGGGACCCTAATTTAGAGAACTGCCCATATGCCTGTGCAAAGGAGGGCTACGACAAGCGAAACTGCAGAGCACCAACGTCACAGGTTCAGAGTGTAAGGACACCCCGCCGCAGCTGCTCCGATGAAGCGGAGCGTTTTCACTAAGCCTTCTTGACCCCAAATCTCTTTGTTTTTGACAGACCTTGATATTGATGTACAAGCCCCAAAGTGCAGCTGAGCGGCCCCACCCTTGCCTGCACTTCGGATCACCTTGGAGGCCTCAGCAAAGTCTCGGGTGAAGGTCGGATCGCTCACGTCCAGGGGCTCGCTGCGGTCTGTCGCGCAACAGACCATGGCCACACCTTAGTCAGGGTTTAGGGTTTAGGGTTTAGGGTTAGTCGTGAGTGAGTTTCCTTACTTACATACATACATACGTACATATACGTACCTACATACAAACCTACCTACCTAAATCCCTGTCTGCCTGCCTACCTAATTACGTGTGTGCATAGGCATGTACGTACGTAGCAAGATAGATGAGATAGATCGATCAATCGATCCATCGACAGGCGCAAGCATGTTGCATGCGCATGTGCACAGACAGCGATTTTCCCGCAAATACTAACAGTAAAGGCACAGCAAGGGGCGGAGAACGGGAAGGCACTGGCTCTGCTGGATATTTCGGGTTCACCCCTCGCTTCGATCGGATCAGATTTGTTTCTCGGCGAACACGAAGTGGAGACGGTCTCTGTCGATGTTTCGCTGTGGCGGTGTTGCGCGAAGAAAAAAGCACGTGGTCGTTGCCTTCGGCTTGCTAGTCTTTCGATGAAAGTGTGACTCGTGACCTTCTGCAACCGAGGTGCCGTCGACGGGAGTGGACCGACAGAATGATGCATCGACAGAAAGATAGACAGCTAGATAGATAGACAGAGAGATCGACAGACCGATAGTTCGAGAGAACGACAGATCCACACATCGACAGATCAGATCCACACATCGATAGGTCGATAGATCGAATAGATCGACAGCTACACCGATAGATAGACCGCTAGATAGATAGACATAGCTAGCCATCTAGCCAGATTGAGCAAGCAAGCAAGCTAGATAGATAGAGATGTAGATAGCTAGATCGGCGGATAGGCAAGTAGATAGACGGACATACAGGTAGAAAGACGCTTGGACAGACGGGTTGGATAGACGGATCGACAGATGTTTATATGGATGGGTATATCGGTAGATATACGTCACCATGATATGTATATGGGCATATACACATGCACACATGCATAGTAGAAGGCCTACATGCGTGAAGAACTAGCTCGCTGGAGGGGAAATGGGATCATCAAGCAATAGTTCTGCTAGGTTGTGACGGTATTGAGTGGACATCGCAAGATGAGCACGGGCCGGAGAAGTATGCGACGACCCTGAGCCATATTCACCGGTATACTACCCTAGATCAAGATCGTGAAATCCAAACTCCCTTCACACTGACATCAAACTTCTTTGAAGCAATGCTTGCTTGGCCACTGAGCGAACACCAGGCACCTTGCAAAGAGCCAACCATGCGGCAATCAACATGGATACTGTTAAGGGTTTGAGGGCCTTAGGATCTCAGGCGTCACTGACGTTTAGGGTAAGGGCTTCAAGCCCTCCATCAGCTAAAGCATGCAGCGGCGATCCTGCTAAACTCAACAGATGAAAGCTAAAGAGAGATACGAGTACAACTTCAGATGAGATGCGCAGAAGCAGAACAGGAAGGTCTCCACCACGACAGCTCTGCAGCAGGGCGAAGTACTTTGTCAGAACCTGCACTGGGCATGCCAAATCAACACTGACTGTCCTGAGCATCCCTATGATTCTAACTATTGTGGTCCTTCTGGCCGCCATGCGGACATTGCGGGTTGCCAGCCCGACACTGTTCCAAACACGTACTGTATGAGGCATCTGAAGACGAGTCCAAGTTTTCAAGAATCCCCATCTGAAACGCTCTTCGTTGCTTGCCGCAGCCTCGTCCAACCGCGACCGAAGGCTCAGCGGGAATGTGCTGGCAACCTGGAGGGCAAGTCACAGAGTGGCCTAGCTGAGGTTACACGATCAGTTGTCAGTATGCAACTTGTGTCTGGACTTGTCTTTTCGTAGCTGTATGAGTAGTTTCCTGATTATACTTGCCAACTGAGTCCTTTCATCCTTCAAATAGGCTTATGCCAGCATTTGCAACCCCCAAACAGAGTCTCTCAGTCGTGCTGTCGTATGCACCCCTCCTTCAGTCACCACTTCGAGGATGCGTTCATGTTTGCGCTGCCGTGTAGTCAGCTTCGGTTCTCTGTTTTCAATTTGACTTTCACCAACCGAAGCATCCGAAGTCCCTCCGAGCAAGACCTCCGAGAGGATTTGCACCAGCTGCACTGGCAGCTTCTCCTGTGCAAGGCTCGCGGAGGAAGAGCAGCTGAAAGGCTTGTGATATATCTAGCCCGGGTCGCTTGCTGCCTAAGTCGCGAAGCCATGGGGATCCAGCAGGTTGGAAAATCAAGGGGTAATGAAACCCGGTCATACACGCGGACTCAACCATCTCTGGCCTGCCCATACACTGACAGACCCTCAGTATCAAGGCTTAGCAAGCCAACAGGGACATCTCTTTCTGAGCGAATGTCTTTCATTCAGTCCTTCTCAGACTTTTCAGCAGAAGAGGAAGCAATGCCAGCCAAAAGGTCACCGATGACCTAGGCTTTGCGACAGGCTCTTACTGCTGCTGCCATGCCTCTGACAAAGAACTTGAGTGCGCATGTGGATACGAATATGATTATAAACAAGAACATGACGAGGATGTTAGCTACTCGGTTTCGATGATTATGATGATGATAATGATAATAATGACGGTGATGGTGGTGGGCACTGGCGGTAAAGCTGGCAGTTGTGTACCCGAATTTGGCCTGTGTAACATAAGAACACAACTGCTACGACATGTCATACATCGCGACTTTTGCAGCTTCTCCTTGCACCTGTTGCTGCTGCTGTTGTGGCTGCTGTTGCTGCTGCTGTTGTGGCTGCTGTTGCTGCTGCTGCTGCTGCTGCTGCTGCTCCTGCTGCTGCTCCTGCTGCTGCTCCTGCTGCTGCTCCTGCTCCTGCTCCTGCTCCTGCTCCTGCTCCTGCTCCTGCTCCTGCTCCTGCTCCTGCTCCTGCTCCTGCTGCTGCTGCTGCTGCTGCTGCTGTGGCTGCTGCTGCTGCGGCTGCTGCTGCTGTGGCTGCTGCTGCTGCTACTGCTGCTGCTACTACTGCTACTACTACTGCTACCGCCACCACCACCACCACCACCACCACCACCACCACCACCCAGTACTACTATTGTAGGACCCTGTATATTTGTTAGAAAGGGCCGAGAACCCCGAATTTACCCAACCACTTGCGGGCATCCGAGCCAAGTCCGGGTGCATCGGGGCCAACTCTACAAGCACGTCGGCTACGGCGCGTTGTCGGGCATCCCCTGCGCCAACCAGGACCTCTGCCACGAGGTGCCTGCTCTCCGAGCGGGGTGGCCGCATCAAGCTTGAATGAGAATTTTTACTCAGATTCATGATGGTTTTAATAGCTATGCCGTGGTTTAGGATGCAAAGAATAATCGGTGAAAATCGCTTGTTGGCAGGATAAATCTGGGCCGTGAAGCCTGTTTTGGGATTACCTTGTAGGATTCTAAATATGAGTTCCAAAAAGGAGCTGCTTTGGGGCCTATGGGTAGACCCCCCAATTCCTTGAGATTGAATGCCCCCAACCCCAGCGCAACCATAATCCCACACCCCGCGTGAACGGAAGAAAAGCAAGCTTCGGGGTACAGGGCATGAGGCAAATGAGAACACTGTTTATTGCCCTTGAAGCTCCTCTAGACCAAAGACATCGAAAGAACAACACTCCAAGGCCCTAAACACAACCTCGGAAACCGGGAATCTGGCCTGGTGAGATTCTTCGCCAAGGTCCGGTCGACCTCTCGTCGCAAGTTACGCGGGCGGACTCCAAACCCCTAAACCCTGCAACCCTTAAATTGTTAAACCCTTCAACCCCAAACCTGTAAGCCCTTAAGCCCTAAACCCTTAAGCCCTAAACCCTTAAGCCTAAGCCCTAAGCCTAAGCTCTTAAACCCTAGGCCCTAAATCCCTTAAACCCTTAAGCCCTTAAGCCCTGAGCCCTCAAAACCGAAACCCTAAACCCTTAAGCCCTTAAGTCCTCAAGCCCTTGAGCCCTAAACTTCACCCAAACCCCAAACGTCCGAAGCACCTCACAGGGCTTCCCCTCTGCGTCGCTCCGTCTCGTCTCGAGGACTTGGCAGAGGAGCCGAAGAAGCTGGAGCCTTTGGGGTTTCCGACTTAAGGGCTCTTAGACTTTAGGGTTTATGGTTGAGGGGGTTACCCGATTTAAGGGCTTAGACTTTAGGGCTTGTGGTTTACGGTTTCCGATTTAAGGCCTTGGGATTTCGGGCTGGGGATTGGGCCTTTCAGGTTTCCGATTTTGGGGCTTGGGCTTTAGGGATTTATGGTTTGGGGGTGTAAGAGTTTGACATGTGGGGTTGCCGATTCAAAGGCTTAGGCTTTAGGGGTCTATGGTTTGGGGGTGTAGGGTTTCCGATTTAAGGGCTCAGGCTTTAGGGATTTATGGTTTCGGCGTAGAGTTTGGGATGTGGGGCTTCCGATGGTGTTCAGGGCTCTTGTCTTGGGGCTTATAGGCTTTAGTGCTCGGGATTCAGGCTTTTGGGTTTCCGATTTAAGGGCCGTGGCTTTAGGGATTTATTGTTTAGGGCTTATCGACTTGACCTCCCGGGTTTGGGATTTAGGGTTTAGGGGTTTGTCACTTCGGTCGAAGCTGCTTTGCTGTGGGGTTTGTGGTTTAGGGTAGTAGCCTTGAGCTAGAATTTCAAGTAGGGTTGAAGGCGTATTAAGGAACGACCAAACAGATTGCACGACAGAACATCTAGTATGAGTGCCACTTCATGACAGCCAAGCAACAGTCTCCGCGACAGACAGCGGCGACGATCAGAGCAAACCAAACGAACAACAAAAGGAGGCAACAACCTGAGGCTGCCCCCTTGAGAGCTCACTGAAAATATAACGAGACTTACTATAGCCGCAGTGCGGTTTCCCTAAGCCTCCTCTCAACTCGATCCCGACTCGACGATATGCTTCTTCTAAAATTCTAAGCCTATCATATCCTTATCATTGCTATTCAGTGGCTTGTGCTGGTCTGAGACCTTCTGTGTTTCCAGGGCCGAGAAGACTGCGGCCACCACCAAGGGAAAGTTCGTCTTGGCAATCTGAATCCTCAGACCCGGGGTGGCTTAAGGTTCAGGGTCTCGGGGGTTTAGGGATAGCGACTTTGGCCCTCAAGAAGCTAGGGATTGCAAGAGGAGAGTGCTGCAAGCTGTTTAGGCTCCACAAGAATTGAAAAGACTTTGCCAGGGATGATTCTGCAATCTGCCAAGTCTACACCGGGAGGCAGGGAGGAGTTGACGGCAACCTGCACCTGCTGTGTGGAGGTGGCGCCACCTTTAGCACTCAGCAGAGAGTAGACGACTTCCTTCACGAGGTCTGCTTCGTCGACCATAGGATTTACTTCACCTTAACTGCCACGACATCTTACGATACGAGGGTCACCTCAGCAGATGAGGCGCTATCTGACGCTGTCTACTATATACTATAGGACAAATACGAAATACGATGTATTATATACCATATTGACAAGTCACCTTGACCATCGGTCCGGGCTGGCGGTGTCTTCGTAACAATCATCCTCTTTCCATCCGATCGCCCGCCCAAACTGCCGTTTCTCGACGGGAAATCCATGGCAATAAAGCTCTCGGACTACAGTGTACCACCGGAGCACTAATTTGTGGCTACGACTCGGGTTGTGTGCTTGCCTTGTTCAGAAAGCCACGTCTGCAAAATCCTGCTCTCAAGAACGATCGTCCTATACGACTCTCCTTGTCCCTCTTTTGCGTCATACCATACCTACGATGACAGGACGTGATGTGGACAACTAAGTAGAGTTGGGTCTAGCAGGTTTTGCCTGTCATCACAACAACTTCAACAAATGCAATAGGAAAACACTGTGAGCCACAGGTGGCAACAACTAGTGATGGTATCAGTGACACTTCAAAACGATGTGGCACCCTTGGCGACTTAGCACCAGCTGAACATAACGAAGTAGCCAGAAGCCGCGAACAAGATCGGTTGGGGTGCAAGCACTGCATGAAGCACTGGTCCTAACCTGCAGCTGTAGCACCAAGCACTACTCCAGTTGCTCTTTTTTCCAATGTTAATGATCAAGCGAAGGCTGCTTGTGTGTTGCGATGACAACGATGGCACTGCCGACACCATTGCCGATGTTGATGGTGACAGTTCAATCGTTCAATGAGTCAAAGGCACCTGTGAGGAAACGGACGGTGAAAATGGTGAGGATAGTGACGATGACTGCAACGACAGCCTTTTTTCTCGGCTGACCGGTTGCAACTCTCATCCCAGCCGCAGCACGGATGCATCCTCGTCAGAGAAACGGGAGTAAGGGCGAGGGCTGTGGCTGCGGCGAGCAGCGACGCTAGTGTGGATCCCAATCGAACGGGGTCTGCATACTATGGGGGCCTTAATAATTAGAATAGGGTTTGGGGGTACATTATACTACACCCGTATCAAGGAACCCCGACAATAGAATTGGTAATAATTCGGGACCTTGTATTGAGGCCCCTTCAAAATTGCAAGCGGATTTTCATGGAACAAATGCACGATCCCAACCCAACTTGGAACTACCCCTCCGCACCCCTGACAAGCCAGCACAAACCAGGGCATTGTACAGTAAGATGGAGATCCAAGCATCCCTAATCCAGATGCTGTTACCTCCATCGAAAGAGGAAGCTCTCTGGAAGAGAATCAGCTAAGGTGGGAACTTCGATGTCCATGTCAGCAGGTTGCTGCTGTTCCTGCAAACATGAAGTCTATGGCCAGGGCCTAGGCCCAGAACGCAGGGACTCAACTTCAAACATGACAGGGTTTAGGGCTCGGGTCTGCGCTTCGGCTTGTCTTGGTTCGTATAGCTTGGATGCCCATCGAGGCCAACCCTCTGTGGGCATGTGGCATAAAAGTATACATGTGCAAGGGGTTTAGGGTTTAGGGTTGGGGCACAGCCTCTGTCTTGTGATGCTTGGACAGGGAACCAGTGCAGCAATAAGCAGTGCGGTTTGCCTGTGCATCTGTTTGTGCAGTATCAGCAAGAAGGATGCTCTTCGACTTTGCAGAAATGCCGAACTGATAAACTTCTGTTACCGCTACTTGTCATTGTGTACCGCTGCCTGTTACTGCTGCTGCCGCTCTGCTGCTCTGCTGCTCTGGCGGCTGCTGCGGCTGCTGCTGCTGCTGCTGCTGCTGCTGCTGCTGCTGCTAGTACCACCACCACTACTACTACTGCTGCTGCTGCTACTACTACTACTGCTGCTGCTGCTACTACTACTACTACTACTACTACTACTACTACTACTACTAAAACGACGATGCCGAGGACTATTGCTACAAGAAAACGACGACTGCTACTACACCTACTTCCTCTTCTTATGAGAGTCATCAGAAGCAAAATCCGGTACCAAAGCCCCTCACACAGCAGTTCCTAGATCAAGGTTTAGGGGCTTGGGGTTTGCGCTTGAGGTTTTTGTTGCAAGGAACTGATACGCAAATAAACCTGCGTGCAAAAAACACCAGCTTGCTGGGACCCGACCTTCAACCGTAACGAACGCTAGTCAACAACAATCGGCACTAACATGCGTCAAAGCACCCTATATACATCTTCTGAAACGAACACGACTATGTCCGGCTAAATGGCAGCAGAACTTGCATCGCCACTAGCGGAACCAGGTGCTCCTTGGCGTTCGTCCTGGGGTTGATGTTGCCATACCTGGGTTTAGGGATTTGGAGTTAAGGCTTATATGGCTTGGGAGTTCAGGGTGGTGCTGAGGCCCAACACATCCGAAGACCGCCGTCCATATGCTTAGGATGAAACCGAAGTTCATGCGTTTTTCGACGCACGCACGGCATTGACAGTGAGAGGCAGGAGTTGGCGTTGCAATCTGAGGCGGCTGCTTTTCGAAAAGCTGCTGCTTCAGAAGCTGCTGCTCTCTGTCCCGCCTTGTCGTGGCGATGCTTTATTAATTAGGCTTTACCTCACTACCGTAGTCCTGCGATTGCCTTCCTTTGGTTATGACAAAACACGTGCTGAGAACTGTTCAGGAAGTAACGAGTGTTGTTTTGGCAAACTTGGGTTCTTCTTGCCAAGATGACTGGTGCTGCGCTTCGTGTTACTATGCGCTGCTGAAGCCGAGTCACAAAGTATGCGAGCGTTCTTCGCACTGGGGATCCGCAAAGGTTTATGGTTTTAGATCTCGCCTAGCCAAATAAATATTTCCTGGACCCTCAACGTATGTAGAATAATAGCCTTTTATAGGTTTTGGGCCATTATTTTACCTACTTTGGGGGGTCTAGGTTTCCCTCTGTGTGCTAGACCCCTACTGTTTGGGCACTTGGACCGGTACGGAAATGCTTCGGCAATCCTAGACCCGAACCTCTAAACCCTAGTACCTAAACCCCAACCCCTAGCCCTAAACTCTAAACCCCTAATCCCAAAACCTCTCCCTCAACTCCAACCCCCTAATCCCAAAGCCTAAACCCCCAACCCCTCAAGCCTAGAACCCTTAACCCCTAAGCCGTAAACCCCTAAACCCTGAACCCTCAATCCTAAACCCTACTACCTAAACCTCCAACCCGTAAAGCCTAGAACCCGGAAACCTTTCCGAGGCGGCGACTCCGTCTCCGGACGGCCAAGGATGGATTCATCGGCCATCTGCTTCCTATGCTCGACCTGAATGGGGCATAATTATTAGGGATCCTAGTACAATTTAAGGTATATTCCTGATTGGGATAGGATTTAAAATGTACATTTTTATTCCTTATTGGGTTTAAGTACCCATCAACATGTAAAATGTTACTTTAATATGACAAACTGACTGGGGTCTCCGGTCTTTGGGTGTTTAATTCGTGCCTAGGGTTAAGGTTTTTGTTTTGGGGGGTGTTTAGGGCTTAGGGCTTAGGGTTTTGGGGTTTAGGGCTTAGGTGCTGTGCGGGTTTGGGACTATGGGCTTTTGGGATTGGGGGCCAGAGAGGCTAGAGGGTATTGGGTTTAGGGCTTACCGGTCGCCGGTTTAGGGTTTAGGGTTTAAGGTCTATCTGGCTTTGCGTTAAAAGCATTCGCGGGGAGAGGTGCAAAAGATCTGGTTTTAATGGTAGGTTGGAAGCGAGAGCCCGTTCACGTACTGGTAGCTGAACAAAACGTCCGTGTCCGTGGCAGAACACATCTTGCTGCATCTTGGTTCAGAAACCTCCCAGACCCTAGATCCGGAACCCCCAAACCGCAAAACCCCTACCCGAACCCCCCGAAAAGGTCGAAGCTTATCTACTCTACTACGTCTAAACCCTAAACTTAAGTAGACCCCCAAAAGCAGGTAAAATAATGGCCCAAAAGCTATAAAAAAGCTATTATTCTACATACTTCTGGGGTCCAGGTAAACCCTAAACCCTAAGCCCTATAAACCCTATGCCCTAAACCCAAAACCCTAAACTTAAGTAGACTCTTCCTCAACCCTGGACTGGCCTGGCGGGGTGCATAGGTCTCCTGGCGAAGGACGAGGCCGCGAACAGCTTCTTAAGGGCTCATGGGACTTAGTAACTATAGGGTTGTAAGGTAACTATAGGGGCTGTAAGTAAGTAAGGTACTCAAAGGATCATGGGACTTAGTAACTGTAGGGTTCTAAGTAAGGTAACTAGAAGGCTATAAGTAAAGTACTCAAAGGATCATGGGACTTAGTAACTATAGGGATCTAAGTAAGGTAACTATACTTGTGGGGATTCTACTTGGAGGTTCACGGGACTTAGTACGTAAGGTTGTAAGTACATTCAATGGGGTTATATGATGTGTAATTAAACTACAAGTACGGTTACCTCAGTTATAACTCTAGTTGCTATAGATAAGTCCCATGATCCTTTAAGTAGAAACCTTCTGCCACGCTACGTACTACTGCGCTACGGTCAAGGTCTTTGGCTTTCGCCGGGTTCAGAACTAAGGATCGGTTCAAGACCAGCCACTGAACGAATGCCTGTATGCATTTCTGTCTGCAGCTGTCCTGCCTGTCTGTCTGAGCCTGTCTGTCTGTCTGTCGCTCGGTCTGCCAGTGCGTTGGTAAGTCACAATGCCTTAAGGGGTGTGCGTATGTGTGTGTGTGTGTGTGTACGTACACACGTGCGCGCATATGTCTGTCTGCATGTACATACGCATGTACAGATTTATGCGTGCTTCCATGTATGCATGCATGCATGCATGCATGCATGTGTAAACAAACAAATCAATGTATATACACATATATATATATATATAGAGTTTGGGGCGCATGCCTCATCAAGAGGCAACACCTCCACCAACAACATCTTCAGCAGGAGCAATCTCGTCATGGTCATCACCACCGCCACCACCACCACCACCACCACCACCACCACCACCACCACCAACACCACCACCACCACCACCACCACCACCACCACCACCACCACCACCACCACCACCACCACCACCACCACCACCACCACCACCACCGCCGTCATTGCATCATCATCATCATCATCACGGCCGTTAGCATCATCATCCTGATATGCATCCGTCTCCCCCCGCTGACACTCCTCCTCCCGAAGGCGTGTGGAAGCTTGGCCGACGTCACGCTTCATGGCCAAGCCGGACATGAAGCCTCCCATGCAATAGAAGGGGCTTTCGGGATTAGTATAATGGGATCCATAAAGTACTATAATACAGGGGCCTTAAATAGAATATACAGAATGTAGCAAACAGCAAGAGCCTGAGGCTGCTGCTGCCAAACACTGCGACTACGACTACCATGGACTACGACGACGACAGTAACTGCTCTGCTGCTACTGCTACTAGGACGACGAGGCAAATCTGACCAGTCCGTGCCTATGGGCTTGCGAGCGTAGTCCTTCCCCGTGCCTGCAAACTGCTCCAAATCAGGGAGAGGCGGCATCAAATATTGTTGCTCTGGCGCGGTGCGAAGTGTCGCAGTCTTCTGAACTCAAATGAGTCAGTTCTGACAATTAATAAGCGCGCACGCAACTTAGTAATCATGTTTCTGGCGTGGAGAAGACCACCCGTAACACTCACCGATTCCTGTGTTTTCTGAAGTCCTCAGAACCCTGAAACCCCGCAGAACCATGCAGATCCCATGCTGTCGTCTCCAAATCGATGAAGAAGCTGACACAGCTGAAGTTCACCGCCGCTAAAGCAAAAGCCGCTGCAAGCTTTTCCGGCCGACATCGCTCGTCATTGGGGTTACCATGAGGGTGTCGGTTGAAGGACCCGGCCGATCGAACGACTTCACTTCCTCGCCATGAAGAACATGTAGACCTAAAACCATAAACCCCAAGACTGGAAACCTAAGTGCCCTCAATGGGTCGCTATGCTATATGCTACAATCTCTTATACTAGACTATGCTATATTGTATTAGCATCTTTTCTGGCTGTCAGTATGATTATTATTCTGGCATGCATATTCTTCAACCAAAACGGATCCCTGAGTCCAGACGTCACTGAGGAAAGCACTGCAAACGGCTCGCTCTCGCTGCTTAGTTCGGAGCTCCTGGCTAGGAAAGCAGAACTGTACGTAGGTTCGCAACTCTTTTTATCACAACGAACATGTGAACTGCTACTTTAAACTAATGCACTCTTGGAGTTTAGGGCTTTGGGTTACACTTTAATTGAGCATGATAGAGTACGTAGTATTCTCGGGTTTAGGGTTTAGCTTTTGTGTTGGCTACTTTGGGCTATTTGGGTGTTCGGGGGTTGCTGGGATCAGGAAATCATGGATACTACCCTTTGTGAAGTCTCCTGGAATGTAGAACTGTTTAGGCAGCTGGAAAACTGCACGGGCGAGGGTTCAGGCAAGAAGTGCTGAAGACTAAACCCTGAACTTTCAGGACTGACTACGCACAGCTTGTTCCTACCGGCCTGTTTCTGTGATTGCTGCTTGTACGGTAGGTACGTTTACTCTCTGACATCACCTCGGGTTTTGTCCCATTATTATGCGGTTTTCTCGAGACCGACGTGGTGTTACTTCCCTGTACGACGGCGAAGACGGTCCACTCACAAGCAGTAGACTAGTCTCTGGAGCCTGAAGTGTGAAGTAAAGCCGTGTTATCAACTCCGAGGCATCCAATGCCAACCTCGCAGACGAAGAGTACGAACCCTAAAATCTGAACCCTAAACTCTGAGCCCTTAAAGATATACTGGTAGTTTCGGGTTGTGTGTGTCGGTTCCAGGCCCTGTTCAAATGTCTTAGGCCTGGTCAATATTCCGCGGGCTGGATTCCAATTGTCAACCCGTCATGAGTCCTCGCAACCTGACCTGTGGATCACCAAACTACTTTCTAGCTGCTCGTTTCATACAAGTTCAATCCTCTAATATTCACTACACAACATAACATGGAATCTTAAATCCTAATACCGAAATTAAACTAGCGAATACACCTTAAATACTACACCGTACAAGCCCCATAGCTTCCAAACTTCCACGAAGTATCCAGTCCTTGGCCTTGGGTTCACAATAAGTCCGTATTGAAACTGCACAGCAATTGCCAAAGCCTGAACCCGAAACCTTAAATCTTGAACCTTAAGCTTTACACCCTGAGCCGAAACAAAATTCGGCCCTCTGTGCCTCAAGCCAACCTGATCCTCATCTAAGAAGCAGAAAATCTCAGAGGCCTTTGATCAACCTATAACACACTTGTGACGACCTGAAATATTACTATAAAACCCGTATAAACGAACCAACAAAGCCCCTACAACAACCCAAACCCAAACAGTTACAGTTACAGGCGAAACCCTACAAAACAAACCGATGATATCCTCATTAGCACCCAAAAGACCGTTCTGAAGAACCTTTCGACAACCACAGAGGACCCCCTAAACCTGGTTCCAATTACTGAAGGTGGTAACCCTTATAGAACCCTTCTAGAGCTTATTGAGAAGCCCTTAAAAAACCTAAACACCTAAACCATGAAGGCAGCCCTTAACGCATAAAACCCAGAATGGAATCCTCAAAACAACCGTTTAAGGAACCTTAAAAGGGACCCTTACAGGACACCTTCAAGGAATCGTAAGAGTTCCTATGAGGGCTCCTTTAAGGGATCCTACAAAAGACACCTGTAAGGACCACCCAAACGGAACCCCGTCAAGGAGCCCTAAACCCTGAATCCTAGAAGGACATAAACCCCAAACCCCTAAACCCTAAGCCCTAAGCCCAAAAATGGAACCCTACAAGGAGCCCGTGAAGGAATCCTAGGAACCCTAAACCTTACGCTAAAAAAGGAACCTTAAACCCCAAACCCTTTTCCACGAACCCTAAACTCTAAACAACCCTTTAAGGAACCCTACAAGCCCTAAGCCCTGTAAGGAACCCTAACCCCCAAACCCTTCAAGGAACCCTAAACTCTAAACAACCCTTTAAGGAACCCTACAAGCCCCAAACCCTTTGAGGAACCTTAAACCCCAAACCCTTTAAGGAACCCCAAACTCCAAGTTGCCTTTAAGGAACCCTAAACCCCCAAACCCTTTAAGGAACCCCAAACTCCAAATTGCCTTTAAGGAACCCTAAACCCCCAAACCCTTTAAGGAACCCCAAACTCCAAATTGCCTTTAAGGAACCCTAAACCCCCAAACCCTTTAAGGAACCCTGAACTCCAAATAACCTTTAAGGAACCCTAAACCCCCAAACCCTTTAAGGAACCCCAAACTCCAAATTGCCTTTAAGGAACCCTAAACCCCCAAACCCTTTAAGGAACCCTGAACTCCAAATTCCCTTTAAGGAACCCTAAACCCCCAAACCCTTTAAGGAACCCCAAACTCCAAATTGCCTTTAAGGAACCCTAAACCCCCAAACCCTTTAAGGAACCCTGAACTCCAAATAACCTTTAAGGAACCCTGCAAGGAGCCTCCAGCATCTCCTCGAGGGACTGGCCCCGGCTCCGAGTCAGGTCCGGGGAGCCCGAGCGAGGTCCTCAATTCAAGGGAGGATCTCCTGATTTTCGAGCATTGAAACGCGAGTAGCGCCAGTAGTAGTAGTAGTAGTCGTAGTAGTAGTAGTAGTAGTAGTAGTAGTAGTAGTAGTAGTAGTAGTAGTAGTAGTGGTAGTGGTAGTGGTAGTAGTAGTAGTAGTAGTGGCTTCAGGGGTTTGGGTCCAAGGATTTCTCTTTAGGGTGTAGGGGTTTAGGGGTTAGGGGTTATAGAGTTTACGGGTTTCTCTTGAGGGTTTAGCAGATAGAATTAGGGTTTCAGGGTTCATCCTTCAGAAAAACACGTCATGGGGCCTGCGCTTTTGTTCTGTCCTCTTCCTTTTAGGGTTTAGGAGATGAGGGTTCAGGGATTAGGGGTTATAAGGGTAATCATCATCAGCAACGTTAGAAGAGGAAGAACAACATCAATATCGGATAATAACAGTGACACACAATAATACTGGTGATTACAGCAGTAGTAGTATTGACAATCATCATTGTAATCAGGAGTGGTAATACTGATAGTCAGAATGGTGAGAATGGCATTCTTCCCAATAAAGTTCACTTAACACCAAGCAGCAATAATGATTGACAATGTAGAAGGGCAATAAAGTTGCTAGAGGGCTTGCAGGTTTCGGGTTGTTGTGATTTAAAAACTGTGAGTTCAGGGTTTAGGGGTTGTTTGGGGTTGCTCCTCGCCTGCTTTCTATCTAGTCTGCCTGGTGCTTTACTGTTGCTACGCTCTGCAGCACTTCGAACATCATTATTGCCTTGGTTACGTCTAGGATGATGGATTTGGGAGTTTCGGAGGGACCCTAATATATGCCAGGGTTCTTATCAGAAGGACCCAAAAACAAAGTACCCCTAATTTTTGGAAACTCCCATTTGGGGTTACGGGGTTTTAGTTCGGTTCGATGTTGCAGGGTTGCGATTTACAATTTGCGAGTTAAGGGCATAAGCTGGGCACTGCCCCCACCCTTTAACAGTCGATGCTAGAGGCTATACGAACCGCTATGTACCAACAATACTGTATATAAGTATTATTTTACACTATGCTTCCAGGGACCTTATTATTGGGTCTTTAAGGGGTCTAGGACCCTAACCATAAGGTCCTTGGAAGCATAGGGTGAACTGTTGTAGAGAGGGGAGTACTCGAGGCGTATTGCATAAGATGTGCTCTTCTGGGCTCGCAGCTGAACTTAAGCATCAAGCTCTAAATATAGTATGAGTATTTATACCCACAAGCGGAGCCTGCGCCAGCCTCCCTCTTTGGGCTGCGACCTCGACGGCTGCAGGATTCTACGGCAAAACTCCACATGGGATTCAGCGTTAAGAGTTTAAAGTCGGATTTGTGAGATCTGTTCATTGGAGGGCCCTTCTCCTGCCGCTTGAACGACGTCCGTAATACCTCGAGGGCCCTTGCTTTGCTTAAGCTTTCGGATGTTGGGTGGCTTTAGGGTTTAGGATGGTTTAGGAAGCGCTAGATTTGGCGAAGAGATCCAAAAGATACTTTAAGAGGATCCAAGACTTAGGTTACGCAGCTTTCCGTGGTAGACTTAGTTTGTGGGGCTTTCCAGGTAGACTTCGTTTATTTATGGGGCTTTCGACGGCCTGCTATGGTATATAAAAGCTGCTTACTTACGGTGAATATAGGGTTCCCGGCCTGTAGGTATAATATAGGGGCCTGAATAAGTAGAAGAGGGCTTCGGGGGAAATTTTACCATTTTGATAAAAAGGACCCCGGAACCCCTGTTCTAATTATGAAGGCCCCTACAAAACACCCCAAACCCGAAAACCCTGAACTCCTAACTCCTAAACCCTAAACCCCTAAACCCTGAACCCCTAAACCCATACTGTTGATGGACAAAATCCTGCATGACCCTAAGGACTGAATAAATATGGGAACTAGGGTATATTCCTTATGAAGGGTAATGTAGGATTTTGTCCATCAGCAGTATTATACCCAGAGCCTCCAAAACCCCTTAATTAAGGAATATACCTTAAATCATATGAGGGCTCCTATTATAATTTAAGGTATATTCCTTAACTAAGGGGTTTTGGAGTCTCTGGGTAGACTCTCCGAAGGGATGAGGCTCCAGCTTCTGCTCCTCGCTCGCTCTGGGGGCTTCTTGGGCTCGTCTCGAAGGATCACCCGGCCCAAGTGATATACCTCCCAAGGCTTTAGGGCTTAGGGTTTGGGGGTCATGTTTACGGCCCAGGGTTTAGGGTGTATAGGCCCAAGTGATATACCTCCAAAGGTGGTGATGAAAGCCGAAGGCGACTTATAGGTCGTAGGCCTGAAACCTGCACACCAAGCCCTAAATTCCAGAGCCCGACGCAGATCTCCGAACCTGCACTCTCGACGTCACCATCGTTTTCCTACTTGTCGGGTACCCTGGGGAACTAAAGGTTAATCTTTTGGGCTATATAGGGATTATATAGGGACTATACTACCCAAAAAAGGTGAAAGTTTTACCTACTCGACTACTAGGTTTCTACATGAAGAAACCTCCCATGTTGCACGGGCATGGGCGTCTCACAGCCTCCTCTCTGCCATCCACGGCCTCAATGCTTGGAAGAGAACTAATCCCAAAAGGTCCAGGTATCAGTATGGGATATACTTAGACCCCCACCAAAAAAGATATCCTATAAGTATATACCATATTGATACTTGGACCCTTTGGGAATTAAACCCTCCACCCAAGCAGTTCAACTCGCAAACGCTTCGGGGTCCTACTAACGGCCGAAGGCATCCAACTCATGCTACAGCTGCTGCAGTTAATATAGGGGCCTTGATAATTAGAATAGGGTTTTGGGGCCCTATAATACTACAAGTATATTAAGGAACCCTCAAAAACAAATTGGGAAGTATATAGGCACCGATGCAGGGCCCCTTCTACTCATCATCCCCACTGTGTCACAATGTTAGATCACCACCAGCCTCATCACCAGCACTTGGGACAGTATTCGCACACAATTGAGAGCTGCCAAGAACGATGCCTGGCATCCTTTAAGGGTCCTGTTAACGGGATCTATAGGGATTTTAAAAGGGCTCCTTCAAGGCTCCTCTTAAAGGGATCTATAGGGTAGGATGAAGCCGATCAGAGGACTTGTTTGCAGTTAGCTCGCCATCACTACCATGTGATCCTAGGCCAAAATTTGCGAAGCCTTGAAAGCCATCAAATGACGCTGAACCCTGCACTGTAAGCGACACTTGAACCGTTGCTAACGTCAGGATCGGGCTCGTATTCTGACCGCGATGCGGCTGGGAACCGACCTAGGTCTTGACTGATTGCTGTGACGGTCTATCTTACCGCCTGATATGCCTGTCTTGTGATTACTACTCATCTTCTCCTCCTGCTATAAGTGATGCTGCTACTAGTACGGCTACTGCTCCTCTTGCTAGCTACACCAACAAGGACCAGCAATACTTCTACGTCGTCTGCAACTACGAATATGCCTCCGACGACGGCTACTACTGCCACTGCCACTGCTACTGCTACAGCTACTGCTGCCGCTACTGCTACTGCGACTGCTACTGCTCCTGCTCCTACTACTACTACTACTACTACTACTACTACTACTCCTGCTACTACCACTACTACTACTACTGCTGCTACTGCTACTGCTACTACTACTGCTACTGCTACTGCTACTGCTACTGCTACTGCTACTGCTACTACTACAACAACAACAACAACTACTACTACTACTACTACTACTACTATAACTACGACTACGACTACGACTACCACTACGACTACGACCACGACCACGACCAAGACCACGACGACGACGACGACTGCGACTGCGACTACGACTACGACTACGACTACGACTACTACTATTATTATTACTACTACTACTACTACTACTACTACTACTGCTACTGCTACTGCTACTGCTACTGCTACTGCTACTGCTACTACGACTACTACTACTACTACTACTACTACTACTACTGCTGCTGCTGCTGCTACTACTGCTACTTCTTCTACTACTACTGCTAGTGGTGGTGATGGCCATGATGCTATGATGGTGATGTGGATGTTGTTGATGCTGATGATGATGTTGATGATGGCGATGCCGACCACACCAACAATGTTCCGATGGCCTCGGGTACGATCAAGACACGACTGCGAGTGTGTTACCTGATGCTGTCACTGCAATGTTAAGTGTCGCTACTGTTTTGTACTGCTCGATACGTGTATTGGCAGTGCTTCTTGCCGCTGCCACTGCTAACGACTCAAGAACTACTACTCAGAACTCATCGGATATCTTTTTGCACTGCTATCAAACACTCGTCACATCCTTGACCAGCATGTGCCGACTTCTACTACGATGCATGTGCTCTTGTGGGCGCGTTTCCTGTGCGAACACAGGAAGGGAAAGTTTCGCTTGAGAGATGGAGGGGGCAGAGGGGGTCAGGGTCATCAGGCAGAGGCTTCCTAGGTAGACAATATAGGGACCTTGAAAAATGTGAACAAGGTTTTGGGGCCCTTTCTTTTTTTTTTCTTTCATGAGGCCATGTGTCCGGATACGAACGCGCCTACTGCACAAACGAATTCAACTCACAAAAATGGGTGAAACAGGTCGTGAGAGCCGGGAGACCCTCGCTGGGCAGAAGGGCCGTCAGCCATTGCTCAAGTTGCCCTTGCACGTCCGTGTGGCATCCAAAATGGACGTGGCACCTCCGTCCTTTGCTAGCAACAAGTATGGCGAACTCCAGCCAAAATAGGCTTTGCTCAAGCCACTGCAGGTGTCGGCGTTGCAAACGTAGCGAGGCGGAGGGCAAGTCCCACAGTGAAGAGCATCGGGCAGGAGATGGCGGGAGGGAGACCCAAACGCATGCCCAGTCAAGGCAGGCAGGCGGTCGGAGAGCCAAATCAAAGCATCTCCATCCGCCTCCTGGGAGGGTTCCCAGTCGATCTGAAATCGCCGGGACACTGGGTGTGTACTTACCGGCGAGCAATCCTGGCAGTCCCGCAGGTCGTGGCCGCCAACACAAAGGGACGATGCTGGGGACAAAACCGTCCTCGTTCGGTCCAGGATTCGGCGGAGCATGGATCTCGTCGCAGAGCAGGTCTGGTTGGAAACACATCAGAACATCATCGGCCATGGCGGCTAGCTCTCCTGACAGCTCCCGTCGCCATGCTACGAGTGTGGCCTGCAAGACCTCAAAGGGCTCAATATGCCCAGTCACAAGTTCCATGATATGTGTGTCCTCCCCAAATGTACCTTCACGCAGCTGCCCGAGTAGCTCATAGGAAATCTCAGGCTCGGCAGCCGGCAAATGCTCAGTACCCCTACCGAGGGTAGCGCGGCTTTGAACATGTCCCAGCTGCACACATAGTGGCGGGAGCAAGCTTGAGTCCCCACGTGCGAGCGATTGCCGGCATCGATCCGAAATGCCGAGGTGGGTGCGGAGTCTGGCATTGCTGGCAAACAACATGCCACACGCTTGACAACGAGACCCAATTGCCAACCTCCGGGCCTGGGTCCGGTACCCGTGCTGCAGAGAAGCGTGGGAAGCCCAGGATTGGGCAGTGGGGAATGCCTTGCGGCATACAAGACAAACATGTGAAGTGATAGCTGCCAAGGGGCCCGCGGACAAGTCCAGTGGTGTCCATACTCGTCGAAGGAATGCCCGAAATTGGGCACGGGCACGGCGATATCCGATGTGCCAGGCGGAAGCCCTCTTAAGCAGCCCCTTCCAACGACGCACCCTTCCTGAGATGAGGGAGCACCACAGCTCCCAGTCCTCTTCGAGGCTTCGCAGATCGCAAGTGGCAGCGATCGCCTGGAAGAGCCAGTCTCCTGCCGACCGAAAGGCCGCTATCGCGTCGGCGTTGTGTTGAATCAGGGCCCAAGCAGCGTCTGGACCATGCCGGATGAGCTGTCCGAGAAAGCGGAGGCGATCTAAGCACAGGAGATCGAAGGGAGAAGGGATGCCGCATGCCGTGAAAATGTCGTCCTTACTCCACCGTTGAGAGGCGGTGTGAGGAATGCGAAGGAGCTGGCGGCAGAGGGCCGTCAGGCCCTGGTCGAAAAGAGTCCATGCTCCGGCACACAACCGAGGCCATGTGCCAGCTCCTGCCATCAAAGTGGAGACGACATTGGCCCTGAACAAAAGGACACGCTTCGACAAGGCCAGCTGTGGACAACAATAGATCTTGCGGCGTCCCTCTCCGAAGGCGGATCGAGCTAGGGCAAGTCTAGATTTGACCTCTGGGAGCAGGGACCCGGTGTACGTCAGAGTGCCTCCCAAATGACGGTAGTTGGGGACTGCATCGAGCAGCACAGCGGGTCCATTGTCCCGCATGACATGAAGCTTCCCCTTATTGGCCCTGAAAGTCCTGTCCTTGGCTTTGCGAGACCCGGGACCCCGATGGATGAGCATGGCTGCCGTCTTTTTGGGTCCAATGTTCGGTGTGAGGCCATGCATGCTAATAGCATCAAGGTTAAGTCCGGCAGCGTGCCTGGCAGCCCCCTCCAGACCCGCAGCATCCTTGGAGATCAGGCAGGAGGCATGGTCGTCAGCAAAGATAATGTCAGTGACCCGGGCTAGCTGCGGCTTAGCATGCTGGGTGGCGTCAAAGAGGGCCAGAACCCTGCGACCGCTCCATGGAATCTCCGGGGTGTGTTCCGAGGGTAGTGGTTCTCTTCGAGGCAGCACTCGGGCGAAGAGGACTGCGAAAATGATGTCGGCGAGACACCCGCCGGGGCGGGTGCCCCGACAGGTTCTGACCAATGTTTGATCCTGGTGGACGTGGAACCAGGTGTCAGCGTGGAACTCCCTAGCAAGGGCTCGCAGCAGGCTAGTCGAGTTGCTTGTGTCGAGGACGGGGTCTGCAGCGGCGAGTGCCGCGATGGCCTGGACTTCCTCCTCCGGCAAACCAAGTGATTCCATAGCCGATTCAAGGGAAGTACCGGTAATGTCGAGCCCCATTATCAACTCACGCACAACGGCGTAGTACGCCGACTGCAAGTCGAGGAAAAGCAATGCTACCGACACCATTGCTGTCTTGGCGTACGCAATAAAACTTCGGGAGGTAAAGACCCCGAAAGTATGGGACATACCTCGCCTGCTGCCGAATTGGAGTTCCGGGGCTTGCGACTCCATGAACTTAACAGGCAATCCTCGTATCGCTCTGTGAATCGCCTTTCCAAAGATTGGCTGAACCAGGATCCCCCTCTGTGACGCAGTGGATGCACGGTCTACTGCATTCGGTTTCGGGATATGGAACATGCGGCCTCCTTTGAAACCTAGAGGTTCTGACTGGTGTGCCAAAACCTTTAACAGCACCGGCCACAGCAGCGTGGCCACGCTTGCTGCATGGAAGTGGCACAGCGCTGGTGGTATCATGTCGGGTCCGCTAGCCTTGAATGGCTGCATTCGCTGCAAGGCCGTGACCAGGCTAGCTAAGGTCGGCACCTCGGAGCATTGAAGTTGGTCGGCTGTTCCGCTGGCAAGTTGTCGGTCGATACACAATTGAACCAGCCGGTCGGGGGGGCATGCCTCGCCTCCTTCCATGCGCGCGAAGTGCTCTCTCCATGTTGCCTGGATTTCGTCTGGGGTTGAGCAAAAATGACCGGCCTCGGTACGTAGCTTGGGCAGTGGCGTGGGCCCCTGCCGCCGGTATTTTCGCGGCCGGATCAATTTGCTGATCGCAGTATGCATCTGCCCCGGTGCAGCATTCTCGGCTTGTATCGCAAGCTGTTCGAGGAAACGATTCCGATCTCGACGGCATGCTTTGCGAACCGCCTTGCTGAGAAGGGATACTTCGGCGGACAACCGTGCAGTAGCAAAGCGAAGTTGTCGGAGCCAGAGGCCTGTGTAAAGCATTTCCCAGGGTCGGTGATCGACCCAAGCAGCCCAGGCGCAACGAAGGCGTGCGACCTTGATATTCACGGTGCATCGCCGTAGGGCCTGCCGGAGCAGCGCTGCTTGCGCATGAATTTGCATGGTCTCCTCGGTGAGGAAATGCTGTCGCATACGTCTGCCCTGGATGGGGAACTCCTTCGCAAGCTGATCAAAGACAGAACCAACCACAATGGCGGCGTGGTCATTCACATTGGTGTCCCAGGGAACTCGAGGGACTCGGGCGAGGATGGATTCCACGCGTTCCTGGTTGCAAGGGTTGGCGAGTGCACGCGCATCAATTCGCCGCAAGCGTTCTCGACTGAGAGCGCTGAAGGACAGCCTAACAACAACCTGCGTCGCGTAATGGTCCGGATTAGCATGTCCGGCGTGCACCTCTGGCAAAACCTTACTGT